CGAGGATGAAATCCAACCGAGGAGAAAAGGAGAGAGATTCTTCTGTGCATATCTGAGGAACACATTCATATTCCTGTCCTCACCTTAATCTCTTTAACGATGAAGTTAGAACTGTAATCTAAATCAAAATGACAGACAGCACTAATCCTGAAATCGGCATGAAATTTGTTAGTTGTTGTAATCTTAATTATCCCCTTAAGCTTCCATAAGCCTCCTCATAAATGCCAAAATGATGCATCTCTGACACTTCACCTCCCTCAGGGTGGGAGCTGGCAGATTCTTAAACACCGCAGGATGGTAATTTCAGGGAAGTTTTTTCAGGCATTGCAGGCAATGAAACATTTTTATCAGAGCATGGCAGGATCTAAATCCACTGTTATTAGAGCAGAACTATCTCCGAATGAAATTGTCATTAAGAAGCTGAAAAAAAAAGTTTGAAGGCAAATGAACACAACAAACCTCATCAAGCGATTATGTGTCAAGATTATGCACGTCACTGAGCTGGTACTGAGGTTGCAAAGCCAATGGCCTGTGACACTTTTATGTGCAAATTAATTTCCTCTAAACAATCCAAACTAATGAAGTATTCTGGGAGGGCCATTTGATTAAAGTTGAGGTCTAATGCATCTGAAAGCTGTCTGCCTTGAAAGTTTCAATGCAGAATAAAGCAGCTCGTAATGAAACCGCAGCTTGTTCTAGTTCAGTCTTCTGTGTGGGAAAGACAGTTCGCCTCTCTCTGCGGACAGCCTCACGGTGAGGAAAGATGGGTAGTGATGCTGATCTCTTCTCTGTTCTCACATGGGAATTGGAGCATTGCTGACATCAGGATTTTGTTACACAAACTACAAAAATAAAGTCACGGCCTTGTTTCTGCTTCACATCTGAATCTCACCTCTGCTAAACTAGAAGAAGATGATAGTACAATTAGAGAAGTGCTTAACCTTGCAGCTGTCTATTGGATATTCAAGCATGAGTGCTGTTTTACCGAATGTGTTCACGCCTGCAGGTAATGCGTAACCATAGGTTAAATATCACCACTCTTGGGACGCTGGTTGTCCAATCAAATTTAAATACTGGAAATGTGTGTAACAAGTTGTAGATAATACTGAAATGAAATCAGCAACTTTGCCATTTAACCAGTGTTTCTCAATCCTGTTCACTTTAGCACATTTTGGGTGTCTGATTCAACTCACCAGCTCATTAGTACAGAGCTCCATGACCTGGAGACATTGTGAGGGTGCATCAGGTTAGTGAAACACCCTAAATGTAGGCCATCAGCAGCAGCATTGAGAAACACAGCACTAAAGTGGAAAATACTATGATTTGACAGTTATAAAAACTTGTCACTCCTTCCCAGCATTCAGAATATATCTAAGCTTCTGGGTTCATTGACTGATGCACAGTAAATAAATATCCCACTATATTAGGGCTACAGTTGATATGTTCATTGAACGGTTTTGGCTTCTAAACTACTAAACCTCTCCCAGTCTGTGCATAGCTCTTTCATCTTAAGATATTTTTAAATGTTATGTTATGTTCTATTATGCTCACCATAGCTGCATTTTTTTTAATCCAAAAAATATTTTCTTTTCTATTTTAATATACACTAGTCAACATTTTTGATACAAAAATTATTGTAATGAAACAGGTCTCAATATATTCTTTGGGTCATGCCGAGAACATCCATACCAGTTATGCCAAAATTGGCAGAACTTCCTGTCCTCAATTTTGATTCAGGTTGAAAACCTACTTTTTCGAACTCCTCCTAGACCGTTGGTCCGATTTTCAATAAATTTGACTCGGATCATCTGCAGACCATGCTGGATTTTGTGTCGATATATGAAATCGTTTTCGTTTAACGCATTAACGAATTTGCTGGAAAGATGCCAAACTGCATCTGAGGCTGTATCTCTGCAAAGCTTTGACATATTTACACCAAACTTTGTATGTGCTATTGTCACCTCACACTGACCACGCCAGATCAATTTGGTAACAGCGCCACCTATTGGTCAAGAGTAATAAACCATTCATTAACCATTAATCATGAAATTTCCAAAAATGCTAATAACTTTTGATTGCATTAGCCTATTGTAATGAAATTGTAATGAAACACACATACCAATTATGCCATAGTCAGCTGAACTTCCTGCCCACCATTTTGATTTATGTAAAAAAACTACTTTTTCGAACTCCTCCACACCAGTTGGTCCGATTTTCACCAAAATCGATTCAGAGCATCTTCAGACTATGCTGACAAAAACTTTCACCAAAGTTGTCCTAAGACCTAAAACCAAAATGCGTTCTTGTCTTAGGACAACTTTGATGAACTTTTTTGATCCACTTCAAATGTTGACTACTGTATTTTAAAATGTAATTTATTGACGGCAAAGCTGCATTTTCAGCAGTCATTACTCCAGTCTTCATTGTCACAGGATCCTTTAGAAATCATTCTTATAGAATATGCTGATTTGGTTCTCAACAGGCATTCCTTATTATTATCAATGTTGAAAACAGTACTGCATGATATCTTTGTAGAAACAATGATAAATTTGTTCCGGATTATTTGATGAACAGCATTTATTTTAAAAATAGAAATAATTTATGACATTATAAATGTATTTACTGTTACTTTTGATCCATTTTAATGTGTCCTAGCTGAATAAAAATATGAATTTCTTTCAGAAAATAAGGTACAAGAAAAAAAAAACCTAGTAAAAAAAGAAAGTACGGCAAAACAGCAGAACATTACACTCCAAACTATCTTGTCTTGATCTCTTGTATTATATTGTCAGTTTGAATGTCTCAAGTTTGGTTTAGTCTCATGACTAATGCAGTGATCTTTTGTTTGGACTCTGCTCTTGGATACTCCTCTGATTCTTTCCCTGAGCTCTACCTTTCTCAGAAACTGGGGTAAAGGCCATTAGGCCTGTTTTGAGATAACGAGGGAAGTATAACTGGAACTAGGGGGTCTTGACCTCCTCAAGCCCCCCCCCCCTGTAATTAGAACACAGGGAACAGCGATGGAGCACTTACGTGTGACAAAGTTGGCAATGACTGTGCCACTGGTGAGAGGACCTTTAGAGGCATAAAGAGCCAATGAGTAGGTGGTGCTGGGGATGAGCTGACTCAGCTGGTGCTCCTGCTTGTTACCCTCCACTAAGAAGGTGTCTGCCGTAACTGGAAAGATAACTTCCATTAGTGCAGAAGCAAGTGAAGAACTGCCAGAGCTTGTTTGCAAATGTTTTTGGAGACCTATTTAATTTAAATTAGCATTTCAATAATTAGGGAAAAAAGCATGACAATTGAATATAAATTTAAATACAAAAAATATGTAAATATCCCTATTACTGTGAACTGCATTGGACCACCAACTACCATTAATGACAATTTTGGTTTCTAATGGCCTGTTCACACCAAAGATGATAACTGTAATTATAACTGTAACTATCAAGTTTTAATAATCATTCAAATTATGTGAGATTGTCTATTTGTGGGGACGCTGATAGTTATGGTTATATAGTCATATTTATAGTTATCGTTCTTTGTGTGAACTCCCCTTAAATGTGCTTTTTGGAGGGATGTAACGATGCACTCTGAGCTGGTTGAAAATCGATAGAAATACGTGACGATTCAAGTCAGTTGAGATGTTATACGATTCGTGATATATCTGGAGGTGGGGGTTTATATGAATGTATCTTTGAGGGGTACTGCGTATATTGAATATTAAAATAGTATTTATAAGCACAGCGCTGCTTTGTTTACGGGGGTAACAAAGGAAACGCTGTATCGCTGCAGTTTCATAAGCGCCACCTACTGTCAGAGAGTGAATTTGCATTCTCATTGCAGCCCGTCTGTTGTTTTTGTTTCGTTTAGATATTTTTAATGTAGTACAGTTTAATAAAGTTAAAGTCAGATTGTTCTGTTTTGGCTTCAACTTTTGAATCTAATTTAAAACCAAAACTGTTAATGATGCATGTATGCAGCATCTTTGTTTGGATTGTGATTAAAATGCAGTGGCTGTCTCTAATTTTAAATGAAAAGAGCACAGGCAAAGGCTTAGTTTGTTTATATGAAGTGTTTTCTTTTATTTGTACCATTTATTATTAATAATTTGATTTGGGATTTGTTTTAAAATTTAAGTGTACTTTTTTATTTGACATTTTAATTTCACAAAGAAATCTGCAGCATAATAATAAATAATAGAAATAATAGTATATAATATAATAATTTATTAAAAAAGTGAGAAAAACGTTAAGTGAAATAAGTATTGTGAATCGTATTGCATCGTGAGTTGAGTGAATCGTTACATCTTTAATGTTCTCAGAAAAATTCACAAATGCATGTTAATCCTAACTGTAGGTGAGACCATATTTAACTAGTCTGGGTTGTATTTTTATTTGTTTATTCATTTATTTTTCCCTTGCACAGATTTGCTAATGATATGTGAGGATGCCAAGAAACCGGTCCATGTTGGCATCTGCCTAATTTGGCTAGCATCTACCAAGTTACAGATGCATTAACTGCAAAAGTTTGACTGGATGTGCATCTTTGACGTAAAAAAAAAAAAACAAACAAAAAAACAAATTACACGAGAAGCATTCTCTTCACCCTTTTTAAAAGTCGATAAGCCAATTCATTTTGCTATCCCAACTATGCATGATAATATGGTTAATTGCATTTTATTATTGCCATTTAGCAAGACCCATTTGCATATCTGCATTGCTTTTTCCCTGCCGCACACAGACCTGAAATAGCAAAGCAGCATATATCTTTGTCCAGTGAGAAAAGTTACATTTCATTTTGTATTTATGGCTGTGGCTTTTGGGATGTGATTTAAAGAGCAAATGATGCTGATAAATGATGGACAGAGAGGTTGTTTCCACATACCTTGGTTCCGGGTGAGGGTGAGCACGTAGTTATCAACACTGGAAACAGGGGGGTTCCAACGCAGCAGAGCCCCCTGAGGTGTAACATTCAATGCAGTGAGCTCCATAGGCATGTCCATAGCTGTGTGGAACAGAGGATTACGTGCAGGTTACAGACAGACAGTCGGAGATAAGCTCAGCCAAGGTAATTGGCAGCAGTCTCATCTTCACCTTTTTTTTCTTCCTGTGCAAACGATATTCACCGGCAATTTAAAAATAGAGCACCTCAGCAGCTTGGAACTAATTTGTTGTGATTATCTGGCTGGAGAAGATCACAATTTCCTTAATTAGCTGACATCGAGGGAGAAATTAGACAGTCAAATGTGTGCAGAGCTCATTCTCAACAGCATTTCTATGCAAGTGAGTAATGAGAAATGTTGTTCTCCGTAATCCTCTATCCATGCTGTGACTTTCACAGATGGCTTTTCTTTTTCACACAGGAAAAATCTCACTCTCCTCTTTGCACTATGGCGTATGTCCTCTTGGAGGAGGTCAGTAGACTGTAATAGTACATTACCATCTTCCCATCCTGTCCCACGCGCATTTTTGTTCTGCCAGCCTCTCTGGCAATAGTCATATCACTTCTACAGCTGTAGAGAGCTGGCCCTCCATTAGGTACCATTGACTTTGTTCCAAGAAATTCTAGGCCTCTCACAACCTTGCAGAGAAGCTGATCTCCGCTGCCTGACAGCAGTTCAGAGGCAAAATCCCCCAATTCCCCATCGCACATTCCCCTCTCTCTGCTTTACCAAGTCTTGACATGCCCATACGCTGACAGACTAGGAGGAGAATATCAGTTTTCGCTTATGCAGTGAACGTGAACTTGATGATCCTCAGCAGGTCATTAGGCAGAGCTGTGAACCAGAACATAGCTCTGTACCAGATCCATCATGTCTCATCAACTCCTCTTGTCACCCTTTACATAACAGCTGAAATAAGCCACAATGTTTTCTATATCCTATTAATAATAAGCTGTTTCCACAAGATGCATTTTTAAAGGAGCCGCTTGTCACTTTGCATTGTTACAGCATTGGCAAGATTGCTCTCAACACGGGCAGCTTGAGATTGTTTGCCTGTCATATTTTTATTAGCTTTGAACAAAACTGTCAGGCTTTAAGCTGCGATGGGGAGTGTAGCTGTGTTTTGATGTATAGGCAAACACTTCCTACCTAGTTATTAAGCAAGTCAGCAGTGTTTAAGTAAAGGCCAGCATCTGTTTGTTCTATTGTACTGCATCAAATGATATGACTGATTAGTTAACTTCCTAGGCTCGAGACATAGACTAATTAATTCATTTCAGTGATATAATGCACAGCTGGAACAAAGACTGCTAATGAATAAATAAGCTTTCCATTGATGTATGGTTTGTTAGGATATGACAATATTTGGCCGAGATACAACTATTTGTAAATCTGGAATCTGAGGGTACAAAAAAAATCAAAATACTGTGAAAATCGCCTTTAAAGTTGTCCAAATGAAGTTCTTAGCAATGCATATTACTAATCAAAAATTAAGTTTCTATATATTTACAGTAGGAAATTTACAAAATATCTTCACGGAACATAATCTTTACTTAATAGCCTAATGATTTTTGGCATAAAAGAAAAATCGATAATTTTGACCCATGTTTTTTTGGCTATTGCTAAAAATATACCCAAGCGACTTAAGACTGCTTTTGTGGTCCAGGGTCACATATATTACTGTATGTACACACATTTTTTTTTATTTTTGATGCAATCGCGATTAATTGTTGCCCAGCACTAAATTTTATTCAACTAATTATATATATGTAGATAATATAACATTATAAGTTATATGCCACAGCCATATCACCCTGCAGCCCAAGGCTGGTTGCCCACTGAAGCTAAGCAGGGTTGAGCCTGGTCAGTACCTGGATGGGAGACCTCCTGGGAAAACTAGGTTGCTGTTGGAAGAGGTGTTAGTGAGGCCAGCAGGGGGTGCTCACCCTGTGGTCTGTGTGGGTCCTAACGCCCCAGTATAGTGACGGGGACACTATACTGTCAAAGAGCACCGTCTTTCGGATGAGACGTTAAACCGAGGTCCCGACTCTCTGTGGTCATTAAAAGTTCCATGGCACTTCTCGTAAAGAGTAGGGGTGTAACCCTGGTGTCCTGGCCAAATTCCCTCCACTGGCCCTTGTCAATCATGGCCTCCTAATAATCCCCATCCACTTAATTGGCTCTATGACTCTCTCTCCTCTCCACCTGTAGCTGGTGAGCGCACTGGCGCCGTTGTACTGTGGCTGCCGTCGCATCATCCAGGTTGATGCTGCACACTGGTGGTGGTTGAGGAGAGACCCCCCCTGCCTGTCACCGCCGTGCGGTGCTGTTCAAGTAAGATGGCAGGTGAGCATCTCTTCTGATCACTGATTCCATTAGTAAAATTTCATTTCACTTCTGAGAGATGGCTGGCAGCCTCCCAGAGGACGGGCGGAACGCACAGGGTGAGAGATGGTACTCATCACATGGTAAATGATGTGCATCATTCCTCAGACTGTCATCCATATTTCTATCAAATCAAAGTTCTGTGACGAACGAGGCTATATGAGAGCACATCCTTCACAGAATACCAAAAGACATTTCCTAGGGTAAATTAGAATACCAATCTGCAGGATGTGCAGTAGTATATGATTAGTAACAGAAGAGAATAGAAATACCTGTAAAGACAGTAGTGGTGATGACCTTGCTCTCTTGGCTTCCTCTCACTGCGTTCAGCTTAATTTCGTACTCCGTTGCTGGATGGAGGCTGGTTAGGGTGTAGTTGGTGATGTCATTGTCAATCACCACATTGTCCATCCTACCTGTGATGACAAATAGTAATGCTGACTTATTTTTTTCTAATTTGTTCAAATTAGACATGCTTTAAATATAAGCCAGAGAATGTACCTTTTGGTGATTGGTAAGACATTTTATAGTAATCAAAGGGTGCGAGTGGTTGAATCCATGATATGGTTACAGATTCCTCTGTGACGTACATCACACTCATATCTCTGGGAGGGTCCAATCCTGCATTATGAAAAAAAAGTATCTCAAGTTTCCACCAAATATTAAGCAACACAATTGGTTTCTTGAACACCAAATCAGCATATTACAATGATTTCTGAAGGCTCATGTGACACTGAAGATTGGAGTAATGGCTGCTGAAAATTCAGCTTTTCCATCACAGGAATACATTTCATTTTATAATACATAAAATAGAAAACTGTCATTTCTAATTGTAATCATATTTCACAATATTCCTGTATTTTTGATCAAGCAAATGCAGCCTTGGTAAGCCACAGAGACTACTGTAATAACATGAATAATCTTACCAACTTTTGAACAGTAGTGTAAGTATCAATAATGTTGCATTGACTGTAGAAATGCACTATTCACAGTTAGACATGATTAACTTATTCCTGAAGTAAAATGTCCAATAACGGGGCTACTGAGATCAAAATGAGTAGTATTCAGCTGGTCATGAGATCACAATATGTCTTCCCCAATAAGGTCACTCAAATATATTGTATTATTGATTACAATTTTTGGTAACACTTTAGTAAAGGGACCAATTCTCGCTATTAACTAGTTGCTTATTAGCATGCATATTACTAGCATATTAGTTGTTTATTACTACTTATAAAGCACATATTCTATTCTATATCCTTAACCCTACCCAATACCTAAACTTAACAACTACCTGACTAACTATTAATAAGCAGTAATTAGGAGTTTATTGAGGCAAAAGTAATTGTTAATAGTGAGAACTGGACCTTATTAATATATTACACTATACAATTGATCAGTGTATTATTATTATATTATAGATTCCCCATTGCAATGTTATTCATTTCAGTGGAACAGTCATTGTCATTCTTTTCTATTCTCATGTAATTTATTTCCTATTTCTGTTTGTCAACAGACCCAGAGAGGAGTATAAGTACGCTGGACACATGACACTCTTCACAAGGACATTTGCATTGTTATTGTCCGCTGCTGTCCAGCAGGGACTCTTTCATGATTTGTTTATCTGTCCCAATAGCACTTAGCATTGCTAAAGTAAAGGTTACACTGCCTCTGAAAACAGTTTAACAGACTAACAGTGGTTCTGTAGCATTCTGACAATTGAGAGGGAAATAAACTGATTTACTCTTACCATTATTGACATGGCCAGTCATTAAAGCGAGTGAAAAGCCATTCACACCTCCCATATTCATTAGACTAATGCATTCAATTCATAAACTATGGGTGGCAATTCATAAACAGGTTGTCAACCTCATTTAAATGCTTTCAGGGTAAAATATTCCTCAGTAAATGAGTTGTGATTATTCATGTATGCATATCTTAATTTATTTTCTACTCTGCAGAGCAGTCAATAAATATATAGCCAGACTTTGTATAAAGGGCACCAAGAACAACTTTTTTCAGCCCGTTCCATCTGCATTTATTCCGTTTCTTATTGTTGAGCATATGGTGACCTTTTTTCACTTATGTTAATGTAAAGGAGCGTTAATGTGTGAAAATATGGTTTCTAACTAAAGCAAGAACATGCTGAAAATGTACTAAACACATTTCTAAGCTAACAGGCTTTATAAAACACTAGACGACAACAGGTGCGAGTGCTTAAAATGTACAAATCGCGTCATTACAATAATAATAATAATAATATGAAGCAAAGTAAAAGTTGAAACTTTTTTTTAGTTAACTAATCAAGCTGCTGTGCAGGTGGCCTGCTGCAGAGTTAATTTCTATGTTTAGAAATAGCTCCGAGACAATATCTGCTTTGGCAACTGCAAATATCAGTTCACTGACAGAACAGCTGAATAATTCTTGACACCTCCACATTGAGAGAGAGGTAATTAGGAGAGGATTACACACTGTTGAATTAATTAAGACACAAAAGGTTGAAAAATCTGCTGTGCAGCTGTGTGCAGGAATCATAATGAGAAAATCCAGCAGGTATAGACAAGATCTTGTTCTGCGCACGCTCACAAATAACTGTTAAATGACTAACACAAATGCAAAAACCTTTAAGGGATAGTTTACCCCAAAATGAAAATTCTGTCATCATTTACTCACCCTCCACTTCTGTAAATGGTAGTCATAATGTTTGGCTACCAACATTCTTCAAAATATTTTATTTTGTGCTCAACAGAAAAAAAAAAATTCATACAGGTTTGTAACAACTTGAGGGTGAGTAAATGGTTTTCGGGTCAACTATTCCTTAAAAGAGCACCCTAGGAAAAATGCACGTTTACTTGTTTTATGATTTCTCAAAATAATCAACACAACCACTCAAACAGACTATTAATTTAGTAAAATTGTTCCTTTTCAGTAATATTTGCACTATTTTCAGTACAGCACGAGTGTGAAGTATAATTTTTATTTTTATTCTTCCTATTGAAATTTGCATATTCATTAAGCCTCTCATTTCTGTTAAGCCAGAGAATTTCATTCACATCAAATACTATGTTTTCTCAAGTGGTGGACTTAAGGAAAGAACAGCATGAATGCTGAATCCATGAATGGCACAAATGTAGTTCAATATCTCTGCAGGTCTCTTTTATTGCTTGGAGAAAAGTTACTTTGTCAAAAGGCTGCGGTTGAACACTTTTCCAGCTGGATTCATAAATGCGAATGGAGAATAGATAGGCCACCATCACAAAATAGGTTTTCACAGATGACTCTATATATAAATAGCAAAGTCATGATAGTTGTGTGAACAATTTCATAAATTGCACTTCCTGTGCTGTGCATTACAAACCCAGCAGGTATCAATTTGATGCTATTTGACAGCATGCCATGAATATAGCATTACTTCAGTTTCTCCATTTTCACTGTTTTTGAAATCAAACTGAAATGATTCATGAAAATTATACATGCAATTTGCATGAGGTCCAGAAGTGTTAATTGTTTTGAGTGCACTGGTGTAAAATCAACTGAGAAAACCCTGTTTTTAAACATTAAATAAGCACATTTAACAACCTCAGACATAACATCCTTGAACATCATGAACATTCATTAGCATTAATACCTGTTGCGACTGAGCCTATAACTGGCTTTGAGGTCACATTGCCGTGCATGGTAACCAGGGTAACAGTGTACCGCCTGGAGGGCAGGAGACCAGTGAGTGTGATTCTGGTTTTGGACCCATCTAGAGCAATCTCAGAATCATCACTGGAGTCCTGAGCATTGTAGTTCAAGATGAATGCGTCAGCAGGTGGTGCCGGTGCACTCCATGCCACAGTCAATGAATCAGAAGTGACATCGGAGAAGAAGAGCTGTGTGATAGGGCGGAACCCTGAAATTGAATGACAACAACTATATTACGAAATGCTGGCTCCTGTGATTAAAGATCTCTTAGTTGATTGGCACATCCTCACAGGAAGGAGGGAAGAGGAGTACAAGAATGAAGAACAATGAGGTGATCGGATGAAGTTTGCAGAAGAGATGCAGCCAGTTTGTAGATATCAAGCGAATGATGGAAATTGGATGAAGAAAAGTGGAAAATGGTGATGGAATATGATAAAATCTTGATAGTGTAGATATAAATGTGTTGATGTGGCATGCTAAAGCAAGTGAGTGATAACAACAAAGACGAAATTCATAAGGAAGATAAAGTCTGAAGAGTTATTACTTTGATAGAGTTAAAAAAAAAAAAATGACGTGAAGCAGAGTTTGAGGCATTCTCAAACCCCCAGGGGCTCATAGCTGCAGGGGGTCCTAGAAAGTTTGTGAAAGAAATATTAAATTAAATTCAATAAAATTAATGCAGTTAATTTAATGTGTTAATTTAGTGCATTAATTAAAAATAATGGAATTTAAAAAACAGAATTAATCACACCCTGACCATTATGTAAATCCCATAAAAAGGGATTTCTTTTTTTACTACTGGAGCAATTCAAGTATAGAAGTACCGTTTTCATACCGCCACTAGCACCAACACACCTCGCCATACCACACTATTAAGAGCAGACTGAGCTATTCTCACAGGATGCGCACTTGGATTCAAAAACAGCTGGACAGAGTGCAGAATGAAACCAGAAATAGAATCAGACAGAAAACAGAGGTCACACAACTAATTTTTCAAAGTTGCGCTTGCCATGCCGTCATAAAAATCAATTACAAACTGGATTGCGGATTGTGGCTTATGTTCAGTGATATGAAAATAAAAATTTATGTTTTGGACATTCATCAATTTTCTCTGCCACAATAATGTTGTTTGAACCATCTCTATTTTCTCAGGAAATATTGTTTCATTACATGCAATTTATTGTGTTCATTTAAAAAAAAAAAATAACCGATTGACAGTTATAAACATGTTCTATTTGATAATTTTAATTTCATACTTTTTAGGGCTACAAATCAATTACATGATCTTACCACTAGTTATCAAACAAATGATGGAAATTGAATGAAGTGGATAATGGTGATAAAATATGATTAAATCTTGATGCTGTAGATATAAATGTGTTGATGCGCCATGCAAAAGCAACTGAGCGATAAAGACAAACTGTTGTAGAAATGCATAAGGAAGAAAAGCAAAATTATTAAATACATCTATTTTGCTGATAAAAAAAGGTTGGGAACCCCTGGAGTAAAAGGCAGAATTTTAATGAAAGATGATTAGAAGCAACTACAAATGAACCTGTTTGAAAAAGCTACAGAAGCCATTGCATCTTCTTTGCACATGGTTAACAATGAATTAAAGGTCTTACATCCACACCATCCTGAATCCTCATGCAATTATCCAGGAGATTAGCGATATTTCTGGCCAAAACTGACACGACATGTAACGAGGCAGAGATGAGGCAATGCTTTGGCTACTCAGTGATTCCTGTACTCCATTTCCCAAAAGATCAAATTACCTGTGAAGGCATCAATAGTAGCGGCAGTGCTCTGCTGCCTGCCTCTCTGTGCTGCAACTGTAATGGTGTACTCGGTGCCCGGCTCTAGACCTGTCAGTGTGGTGGTGTTGACGTCCTTGGGCACCGTCAGCTCAGTTGTGACTCCAGTGGAGGAAGTGTAGGTCACCTTATAGTGATCAATAGGCCCCTGCACTGTGCCCCACAACAGAGTGATGGTGTTGTCTGTGGAGGCTGTGACAGTCAAATCCAAGGGGACATCCAGACCTAACAATCAGAGTACACTGTGGCTGTTTCAAGGTTTGCAATGGGAATATTAAGCTGTGTGGTTCAGTAAACCTTATCACAAACATTATTTATCAGTCTACTGGCAAAAACAGTCGGCAGCAGGAATACAAACACCATGCAATTGAAAATAAATGTATTTCACTGTGATCTGGCAACGGAAGGCCTATAATCTTATCCCTTACCCGTTCTGGCATTCATCGTTGCTGGGGTGCTTTGGTTGGCACCTAGAACGGCTGAAATTCCTATGCCATACTCTGTGCCAGGCAGTAAATCTAAAGAGGAGAGAAGTAAAATAGCAAAAGATAGAGAGTGATTTAAAAAAAATGAGCAATACATTATGCACATAAACAATATATTTTGCTGTCACTAAACAAGTATAAGTTTTGCTAAATATAGATTTATATCTATAGTTATAAATATAGATTTGTTGGCGCTCACAATTAGTTCATAATGAGAGACTGAGTCAAACATCTTGAAGTGACTTGCACGTAGAGGTGAGAAACAAATACTTTATTTTCAATACTTATTACCAGAAATGTTCCTTACTTGCGAAAAAGCTGTTAAAGAAAGAAAAAATGTCTGTATGCCAGCAAATTTGAAAGAGTAGCCGTAGCCTAGACTGAGGATTCAGGGTCTTAAAGTTGGACATACAGTCAAATCTGTGTTTATATAAAACTTTATGTACTGATACCTAAGAATATCAAAAACATTATGTATACAAATCACAAATCTTGTTTATGATGTATTTAACAAAATCCTCAAGTCATTATAGTGACAAAGCAACATTGTCACGATTCAACCAAGGAAGGCGATGAAGACGAAGATAATCCACAAAATGTCTTTAATAATAATCCACACGAATACATGAAAGATAATGACTCCGGGTAACGTAAACACATGTGACTAAACAATAACCGACAGTATGTCGGTATAGGGCAGCTGACGAGGGGCAAGCAGGTGATCGGAGTTAATTAATGGGAGTTAACTAATAATGACTAACGAGCAAATGAACTAAAGAGCTTAAACCGAACAGGAACAAAACCATATAAGGAAAAACAGGAACAGGCAGACGTAACAGAAAAAGACAACACTAAAGTTCATAACCCTAACAAATATACATAAATGATATGTTTATATATTTGAAATGTTAGGATTAATGTGAATTTGTGATGGCATGTTGTTTTATTATAAATAGAATAATTGTAAAGCTTTTTAATATTTAACTGCAATTTCGAAGCAACAGTTGTATTTTAAATACAACAATTTTAAATGTGAATTTTATTGAAAATTTTAAGAATTTTAAATGGAATTAACAATAAACAGTTTTACTATGAATAAAACCATTTTACCAATTATTGGTTCCATACCTTATATAATATCTGAAATGTGGTTATGTCAGATATTATAATATATTATATAGAAATTGTATAGAATATTTCAGTATATGAAATAAAGGAAAAAGTTGGGTTTGAGTTTACCAGTGAGAGTAGTTTTGGTGGTGGCGCCATCGTTGCTTGGGACAATGACTTTGTCATACTGATCACCAGCCAGTGTGCTGTAAACCACCCTGTAGCCTTCTACATCTGCCTCACTATTGTCCCATTCCAGCTCCAGGCTAGTGGAAGTTTTCGACAGCACTCTCAGGTTCTAAAAAACGGCAAAAAAAAAAACATGACAGTCTGGATGAATAAATCCTGTGATTAATGATGGACATAAAAACATCCCTTTTTGTACCATTAAATACAAATGAAGATAAAATACAAATGAAAATATATGTGAATTTGCTTGAAGCGTATTTTTCCACAGAAAAACATAGCCCTGAGCTATAGACCTAACAGGTCTTAGTGCATTCAGAGTGAAAAATACCCACAAAAAAGGACTTATTTTGCTATATTTTATCAATTGTATCATTAGAATTTCACCAAGGTAATGGTGCAGGGTCAAAAAGTGTTTGCAAAATACTTAAAAAAAGAAAGTGCGATGTTGTGGGAATGTGCAGAACCTGATAACGCTGAATTTGCAAGTTAAGCTTGAACTTTAAATATAGTGAACTGTGACTGTGTCTGATTTAAAAGGTGAGGTGTGTAATTTATGTGGCACAAAAAGTACCAGAGGAAATTGCAAAAATAACTCCAGGAACTCATTGTAATGCCTGCCTCCATCTACTATATAACGGCTGCTCAGTTCAGCTTGGCTGAACGTACTATAACCTACTGAAATTTTGATGACGTACATTGTTTCTTGAAAAAAAAGTTACTTTGTCAGAAAATTGATAACATCAGAATAAACAGAATGGCTGTCAGTTGAGCAAGATGTTTTTATGGTATTGTTACAGTATTGCTAAGCAGCCAAACACTGAATCTTGGAACAAATGCCACTGGTTAAGCCAGAAGTTGAACTACTCGAACCAAACAATGTTTGAAAACTAAGAGCCACAGTATTTACCTCAAGTCTTTTAAACCGGCAATATATAATAATATTGAAAATTACACACTTCACCTTTAAGTTATCCCTGGTTTCAAGTACAATACATGAGAAAGTGTCAATAATATTCGCCAGCAGGCAGTCCCACTGCAAACCCGCACTGAATCAAGCGGCCATGCTGAGCCTCCAACAGACTCTTTTATTAGGACGCTAACTGACTGTGTGAATAATTAACTTGCTTCTTTATAGGGCAACATGACAATCTGCCTCAGAAACAGGTATTGGGAAGGAAGATGAACATCTCTGGTACTTATGACCTCAAGAGTTCAGCTCATCTCCAACCTCGACCTCATTCTGCTGTGATATGCAAAATGCTACTAATTGGACCAGGTGAGACTGCGCTGAATCCAATGTTTACCTTTCTAAAGATGAGCCTACAACATACACTGCGCATGATGCCATTGTGACTCCATAAAGAATATTACAACTACATAATGTGACCCATTAATCAAACACGAGGGTTTCGAAGGAACCCCAAGTAAATGAGGAAATTATGTCACCTCAGGTTCATGGGAATATTTACTTTAAGTTCTCTGCACAGCCTATTCAATCCACAAGGGTGATTTCTTGGTTTTATTCAAGGCACACCAGCACAGACTCATTTTTAAGTCCAGGCACACCAGAGACCAGGCAGTAGATTACTGTTTATTTTTTCCCGAAAATGTTGTATTTTAGCGCTTAAGCATAATTACTGTGAAGCAAACTCATGAGGCGCAGAGCGCACGCTTAGCGAAAGCTCATCTTCCCGGGCCTTCTCTGGGGTAGATAAATCTTTGCACACATAAATAATTAAGTGACATCAAATTTGTCTTTCTTTATCCAATAAGGTATCCGCAGTGGACGCGTGAAATATTAATGGACATGCATGCATAATTAATGCATCTTTAATTATGCTCGACAGTGAGGCCCGTAGAAATTAATGGCGTTTTCACAGCAGACATGCAATTTCAATTGTCCAGGAAAAGTTCAATTGAATCTAATCCTCCTGTCTGTAAGTGACAGAAGAAGAATTCTTGGGTGAAGTTTACATTAAGTGCATAATTGCTGGCAGACTCACCCATTCATCATAGTGACATTTTCCATTAGCTGAAGCAATGTGACACCTCCTTGCAGTTTATACCTTCCCAGCCCAGCTCGGCCCCTCTCACATGCCATTTGAAATCTCTGTTTACATGCCTTCCTTCATGAGTGCACTATATCACTGGCTGTATGTTTTTCTGCATGTCTTGTCAGACACATTTGCAATAGCGTTTTGTTCTGACAACTCACTGTCAGCAGACTAACAGTAAAATGACTGTATTCATAGTATAGTTTGAAGGTGAGACCTCTGTTCAGCCTCACTGCTGCGCTACTGATTTCAGCACCAAGGACAAGGGAAAAACAACAGGACATGGCAGATGGGTGGAGGAAATCACTGCTCAAGCCACTTCCAACTTGTCAGCTCCATCTACAAAAGAGACACTAGTGACTCAGCTGGCTGAGTAACCTGAAGGGAAAAACACTTCACATTGTTCGCTCTTTCATCTTCTCAGCACACAGAAAGCAACGGTAAACTAGATCTCCCTGCACTGTGCATCCGCCCGAGGAGCATTTGTTTGCTTTGCAAACTTTTATGTCTCCATCAATGATGAAACATTCTGTTCTGTCTTTCCACACTAAGAGCATCTACACTGTATATCACAAAACTTGCTTGCTTGGTGAGCATAGTTGATTCAGTCATCTAGGGATGGCTGATACTAAATAAGGCATTATAATATAATAATATAATTATATAATGCTGTCAAAAGATTAATCACGATTAATCACATCCAATATCAAACTTAATAATGAAAAAAAAAAATATATACATGTATGTGTGTGTATTTATATATACATAATAAATATACACAGTACACACATATATTTTGTAAACACAAACTTGTTTTGGATAAGATTAATTGTGATAAATCATTTGAAAGCACTAAATATAATATAATATAATATAATATAATATAATATAATATAATATAATATAATAATATGTATGGACCACAAATATAATATAATATAATATAATATAATATAATATAATATAATATAATATAATATAATATAATATAATATAATAATATGTGACCATGGACCACAAAACCAGCCATAGGCGTCAATATTTGGAAATTGAGATTTAAACATCATAAATAAATTGATGTATGGTTTGTTAGGATAGGAAAATATCTGGCCAATATACAACTATTTAAACATCTGGAATCCGAGGGTGCAAAAAAATCTAAATACTAAGAAAATCACCTTGAAAGTTATCCAAATTAAGTTCTAAGCAATGAATATTACTAATCAAAAACTAAGTTTTGATATATTTACGGTAGGAAATTAC